AACAAAAAAACGTTGAGAATTCGTTGGCCTGTCTACGCAATGGAAAATTCCGTACTTAATATTTTATTGTAGGTACATTACTTTGTTCCGTGACTGTTGCTACGTTTTGCGTATTATTCCGCGGACTTATTGGTATTGATTAAATTAACGATTAATTCTGTTCAATCGAGAAAATGTTTCGAAACAAAAATCGTTGTTACTTAAATTCTAATTACTAAGATTAGAGATATTTCCTCAATAGTTGGTGTATACAAATGTATATTACTAAATTGCAAATCTTCATTTATTATGGGCAAAAATTATCGAATTAGTAAGAATATTCTTAAAAGTTGCCAGTGGTAATTAACAACATCAATGATTTTTATTGACCGCAACTGGCGATTAAAATTCTTATTGCTAAAAATCCTGGTTGGGGTAATATTTTTCGCAATAAGAATTTTAATCGCCAGTTGCGGTCAATAAAAATCATTGAAATTATCGAATTATTTACTTTAATAATAATATAAATTGGTATTAAATACTTTATTGGAAATAGCATTGCGCGCGCTATTTGGTTTTAATTTATATTTATTCGTGATTTTCTTCACACATTAAGATTTTTTTCATGTGAAGAAGACGTAATCTGACGTTGACACTCTGTCAAAATACATATTACATGATTTTCGCACTGACAGCTACTCGCACTACAAAGCCAAGCGAGAAAATCAGCATCGCGGAACAGCGTTAATAATTCGTCTTACATACCTTTTTAAAAAGAAGATTAGTTATCGTTGTATTTCATCAAAAGAATGAGACTTTCTTTCATTCTTCTTCACTCAATTAAATGTTTAACTTTAACTTAATCTTCTTTAACTTTTTGTTTAGTCTCTAACTTTCTTTAAGTATATTTTTGCACAACTGTCAAAATTCGCATGCGAGTTGAAACATGACACGAATCTAAAAGAGAAGTGAATCACACCGTGCTTCGAGAAAACCAATCGGCATCGCGGAAAAGAGGCCTAAACTGTTCGATATTAACATTCGCGCTGGTAACATCTCTTTTTTAGAAAGGGACTAGCACACACAGCAAGTCACAAAAAACCCATTCCATTAAACAAGTTATAGAGTGCCCACGCTATTAATCGTTGAAGTGAATAGATGTTTCCCTAAACTTCCACATATTAGGTAAACAATTCCGTGATGTAAAACGTAATTGGATTCTTACAACGTGTCGCTCAAATTGATCGCAATACTGAGACACTGTACCTCTTCACGCAAAACTAAATAATTTCGAAATTGTAGATATGTTTTCGGTCATCGGATCTTCGTAAAGATGTATTTAATCATGGACAACCGTATGTTGAGTTTTCACGAATTCGTTCTTGGGATTCATTGAAAGTATTGTATATTTAGGTAATGATAGATTATCTAATAAAGTAAAAAATTATGTTTATAAAGAAGTACTAGAAGAAAGTAACTAAGACATGAGATTATAAGATAATAAATTTAAAAACATAAATTTTTAATTTATTTTTTCTTCATAATTAAAAATATGGAGCGACCTACACCTTGCTCGGACCATAATGGTGTTTATTAAATTATTGAAAAATATTTTTCCCTTTTACATACTTATTGGTTTATAAAATGCTTGAATCAATTCAACTAGAGGATTCGACAGTGTACGTCCTTTCTACTTTTAATTTATACAATATATTATTTATACATATACTTTTATATATTTAATTCTTATAAATCTTAAATTTACACCTTCATTTATTTACCTATTTTATACTTTTTAATATAAAAATCATCTCTTTTTGTATGATTTATTTATATACATATACGAGTATACATATATACATATTTATACGTATGAATATACAGGGTGGGTTAATAACAATTGACACCTTAAATATCTTTGAATCTATAAAGTTCAGAGTAATATTTTGTGTAACTAAACACGAGAATATAGAAAATAAATTTTTTAAAATAAATTTAAAAATTTATATTTCTTTTTATATAATTATTTGTTATATATATGTACAGGAGAAAAAGTAAAGACCGTAAAAGCGCGCGCTGTGTGTGCTAGTTTCCTAAAAAAAATTAATGCTTCTACCGTCTGCGATTTTTATAGACATATAAAAACTTATAAATTAATAAAACATTATTTCTTTAAATCTACGTTCATTAAATTCAATGTTTGAAAGATTGCGACTAAATTTTCGTAATAAATAACGGGACAAGTAATATTAACCAAATAGGACATTTTCGAGACACAAAAAATACCAACATAATAAATAATATAAAATATACATCAATCTACGAATCTCTCTGTAACATCTGGTCAAAAGTTAATTTCTTAATTTTCTGGAAATTGCGTCCTGAAAAAGTTTCGCTCGACAGTACAATTTCGCGAGTTAGAGTGAATTATATCGTTCGATTTATAACTGCAACGTAAATCCCTTTTACTCGCAACATGGTGCATTTTCGCGAAATCGAGCGTACAGAGAAGATTTAAGGGAGCGCAGCTGACTTCTTCCTTCAGCTAAGTGCGACTCCATCTCTCTTCTCGAGATCGATCCGGACGAGTCGTCGATGTCTCCTTAAATCGTCGCAAGTATACCGGCGTGAGCAAAGTAGACGCATAAGCGTACACGTGCGACAATAAATCGTCCATTCGCGCGGGAGAGATTTAAAAGATCACTCCCACCTTTCGGAATAAATCTTATTCGCACATTCGCCCGCGAGTTCTCGTAAAAATACATATCACGCGGCGGATGATATTCTGCGTGAGAAGATACCAAGTGCTAGACGCAGCGTCTCGCGAGAAGATATTCGAGGCGGTGATTTTTTTGCCCTTTCTTCTCTCCCTATTTTTCGAGACGAATTCGGCCGGAATTCTTTTTACGGATCGATCGATACGCTGCCGAAATGTCGACGCTAAAAATGGTAATCGTGTCACAGGAGCGAAGCGAATGTGTGAGAACGACTGTCCCTATTTCATCGTGATACTATAAGAGAAGAAGATCTGAAAAGGTTGCTTCTTTTCGATGCGAAAGAAGAATCGAATTATTTAGACAATACTTTGACAATTTCTTTAATGTGGCATTAATTGCAAATGCAGAATTTTTGAAAATATATAATACTTAATTTATTCCAAATTAAACTTATAAAGAAATCCCCCCCCCCCCTCTCTCTTTTCTCTCCTATGCTTTAATATTTTAATGGTGCTAGCGCAAATTGTTGTGTTAGTTTTGAATAAAAATACATACTTTAATTCTGTTTTAACTTTTGGAGAATATAAAGCTCGAGAAGATAATCACGAAGATAAAGAATACAAAGAGTTCTAAGTTCTTTATCGGAAGGGATAACTTGTTTTCTTTTCTTGATGACATCAGTTTGTGAAATGTTCGGTTAAATGGTCGTAACTGTGCCACGGGTACGAAGTTACAAGCTACATGTGGGTGAGAATAAATCGTCCGACTTCTGGAAACGACGACGCGAAACGAGCTAACGTGTCATCGACTGCGACCCGACTGGGACCACCACTTCCTCCCTATAATGGAAGAAATATCTTCGAAACGTCGATATTGGGAGGATACGAAAATGGCGACGGGAGAGCTCCTCACCTTCGAGAATGACGACCGCGAAATTTATATGCTCTGTTCGCAGCCAGTCATCTTCGATAATGTTGCATGAAAATCAACTCATAGTGAGTTGCAAATTCCTACATTTAAGATCGCTCTATTTTATCTCTCCGCTTTACAAAAAGGTTTAGGAGCATAAATCGTGCTGTTTGGCACACGTCATGCATGGACATCAAAATTTTAACACGAAATAATTCTTCTCAGCAGTAATAGATACAAAGAAGTATAAAGTAACAATAAGAACGATAAATAAATTTAGCAGAACATTCCTTTCTCTCTACACAAATATTATATCGCGTATCGGACATTATTTCATGATGCGTTTCATACTAGAAAGTATTTTTTATTAATACTCCCAATTGTTGTAGGAGCAGCCACGCGACATGACGAAACAACGGGAGAAAAACTGTTGCTCTGCCTCGCTCGCGACTCTGTTACAGAGCAGCCTTGAGCTAGCGAAGCGAGTTTTCTAGTCCGAAGACAGCATCCAGAAGTATCGATAACCATTGTACCAGAATAAAATGTACACTCGATCGCGCGAATAGTGACGAGGCTATTTGTAGATGCGCATCGTACACATGAAAAAGAGGCGATAACATTTCAAGAGGCATCCCGCATAAAATTGTAATGCATACATATCGACATATCGTAAGATTTACAAGACGTATTAAATTAATACAGAGTCGTGTGATATTGACCTCATACGATAGATTCCTTCTGTTACAAATTGTTTCTATTATACTATTCCAGTTCATTTCGTGTGAAATATAGAATCGGCCTTTCTTCTATTTCACGGAACTTGTCGAATCTTAATATTCGATCACGGAAAAAAAAAATTAGCTGCTGTAGCTAAATAACTTAGCAAAAAATGGACAGCTAATATTTTTAGTTGTGATAGCTAAAATTTTTGCTACGACAGCAAACCCGTTTGCTGTCGTAGCAAAAATTTTAGCTATCACAACTAAAAATATTAGCTGTCCATTTTTTGCTAAGTTATTTAGCTACAGCAGCTAATTTTTTTTTCCGTGATGTCTTAATAAGTGCGCTTCTCAAATTAAAATCACGTTAGTTCAAAGTTTCGTTTAAAATTGAAAGATCACTCAAGTTCTGTCAATTATCTTTGGCTCTAAAATTTACGTTGCAAAAAAACGTTCTCTTATTAAACTTAATAAAGATTAATACAATATATCTGTCACACGGAAAAAAACATTTAGCTGCTGTAGCTAAAACTTGGTAAAATAGGGACAGCTAATATTTTTAGTTGTGATAGCTCAATATTTTGCTACGACAGCAAACGGTTTGCTGTCCCTATTTTACCAAGTTTTAGCTACAGCAGCTAAATGTTTTTTTCCGTATCAAGTATCTTGCACTCACCCTTTGCGCCTTCCGCTTGTCAGCACGTTGGTTTTGATGATATATTCTGCTGAAGTTACTAACGATTACAGGTACCGGTAAAGCGATCACTAGGACACCGCTCAAGGAGCATACACCCCCGACGATCTTTCCCGCAATCGTTTTCGGTACCATGTCACCGTAGCTGAAACAAACAGAAAATATTTGTTGAAGCAACAGTTCCATGACTCGTACAAGATGTTATTCCACAAATGTCGTGATGTGAAGATTACTATTAAAAGATAAATACAAAGTTCTAAATGATTTATCCTTTTTGCATGTATTTTTCTTCACGAGTGTCAGAACAGTTAGAAAATTTCATATATTTGACAAAAATGAGATATTCGAATATCTCGAGTTACAACCATGTAATATAGTTTATATTCTCAAATCTAGAGATTATAAAGTTTATAAACTCTCGAATATAATCAGTTCTTATATTCTAACAATAAGTGTTGGTGTAATTATATTGTGCAGTTAGTATAATTATATTGTGAATAAAAAAACTTTGCAAAAAAATCGAAAGAAATTGACAAGACAACTCTCCAAGAATTCCAAAATATACGATTTCAAGATGCTAAAACGTTACGGTTTCCAATTTGCAAATATTAGGAGTTAGGGATTCCGATAGTCACTGTTTCCAGAGTGCTTAACTCCAAAGTTTACGAGTCCCAGAATATTCTACGATCCAATACATTTCACAGTTCAAAGGTGCCCAAACTCGTAGGATCAGTTTCATTTCGAGACACTACATAATAATTCCGGGCGAGTGTCGCGCTTCGCGCAACAGAAATTCATTCGCGAAACATTGTTGTGAGCATTGTTGACGACACAAAACAGTGGCAGCTTAGACAAACGATCCGGCCAAATGTTCAGAAGGTACGATGGAATTATGCATTCTCGACGTTGTCGCCCGCGGGAGCACGCATCGAGGGAAACGGGAGAGTCTGGATAATTCACAGCGTACTTGAAGAATTCAGCCGTAAAAGATACGTTCGTCCTCGTTTCTCAGTCCCGCGAATGTCCACCCGTAAAACTTTTTCGCGGCTACACGTGTCCAGCTACGTGATCGACCATTTCCCGCAAGGGTAAATTTCCCAGTCCAGCCTCCTTATGTATTTAGTGTATATGAAGCGTGAATACGTGAACCGTGCAAATACGCGGTCAGTCCTTTAACTTTCTTTCGTAACGCGCTTGAACATTTGCATTCCGTTACAATTGGAATCTACATTACTTCTCTCTTTTAGTAAAGTTTACTATTGGGATGGCTGGATCATAAAAACTTTTATTACCTAAATATTTCCCGAAATTTAATAGAAATGAAAAATGATATTCGCAGAAAATTATTAATCACCCAGTGTCAAATATAAATTGAAATCGTATTTTCAAGTAACTGCGGAAAATATTTCCCTGTCAATCGCACGGTTTCCTTTAAAGATACCATTGTCTCCCGCAAATCTTTCCATTATCGCATTCTCGCTTGAACTCACGCGTCACCATCTGTCGCACCTGCAGGTTTCGTTCTGTTTGAACGGAGGATGTACGTTGTAGATGAAACCAGCGGGAAACGCTGACGTACGCGATGAATTGCGAAATATATAGTAGTCGGCGTAAAAGGATGAGGCAACATTTGGAAACGTCAGGCGGAAATATTTCGCGTATGAGAAGTTATTGAGGTATAAAAAGATGCTCGTCAGCAGGGGGCAAATTCGTAAGAAATCTTCAACTATTCATTCTTTTTAGAATACCATTTACGAATACCATCAAAGTGGCCCAACATAGAAGCCCAATTTTTTTTATGGTCATGTTTGGTATCCAATAAAAATCTCGATGAACTGATTACAAAATTATGAATATCCAAGTGTACCTTCTTACCGTTCTAGAGAGAAATGGCACTCTTGAATTGTTATAAAATATCAAAATCAAAATTAATCAAAGGGTTTATAGATAAAACGAGTTGCATGCAAATGTTCTATCATGCATGAAATTTACTCTGAAAAGTCTCACATATTAAAATTTATATTAAAAATACTAAATGGTATTCTTCAAATATTCAAAAATTTCGGGAAAAAGGGGGATGTCGGTACTTAATGCTCACCACAAAAATTAGTATGAAAAGAGTGTCGCATTAGTACCGGGGAAACCAGAAACTACATTATACTGCGTACAATGGCAATCGTTTATTCCGCCGACATGCCTCACTCGAGAGATCAAAAGAAAGCGCGTGCGGAAAAGAGAGAGCGCCGATGGAGCCGGGGGATAAAATGAAGTGTAATGGATCGCACTCGACAGCTACAGATCGTTCCTTTCTCCAACGAATTTCGAGGGCCACACACAATTTCGGCTCGTGCCGAAGGGAGCAAGAGTAAAGGCAAGCTCTATTCTGCAAACGACGAGTCTGAGAAAAAAATGTTTTCTTAGAAATGATCGATCACTCAATTCCGCATATATCTTAGATTATTAGGAAAAAAATACGTATGCATAAAACACACTGTGTAATAATAAAATGTATTCTTGCTAATTCAATTTAAAAGTACTAGAAAATTTATTAAACAATATTCTCAAATTATCGACTCCATAGATTTCACAGATTCCAAACAGTTCAGATTGTTTTAATTGTAATATTACAGAGATAAGAAAAGCAAAAAAGAGAGAGATTATCTATGTTAAAAAATTCTAAGATTCTTCAATTTAAGTTGTGGAAATTCTAAGATCTAAATTTTCTTTATTGTAATTTATATTATTTAAATTTTACAATTTCTTATCAGCGACACACACACACACACACACATCTACTAAGCATAACCCTTAAGAAACTACAATAGATTAAATAAATAAAATTTCTTTACTTAAGAAGAAATCTTCTACGTGCTAAGTTCAGTAGTCTATGTACGTATATTAGTTTAGTATCATGTTATATTAGTTTGCCAATCACACATTGTTAATTTATGAATTTCTCTTGTCGCATAACGTAAACAATATTTTTCTATGAAAAGCACCCATACAAAAAAAAGTGAAAGTCGACCTGGAATCGCAGGTCACGCGAACTTTCGCCCGAGCTCAGTTTTCCCGGCCGGCAATAATTTTCCCGCGCCCCATGGCCCCCCGGGCCCGTTTCTCGACCCTGATTTACGTTTCCCACGGACTTTTACAGCGACCATGAAACTCGTCCTAGCGGGATCTCACCTGATGCTCGTCCTATCGTCTTTCGCGCACGTGATATGCTGCGTGTTATCGATCTTCCTCCTTTCTCGCACCTTTTATTTAATTAACAATTTCTCACGCTAGTTAGTCATTGATCGAATCATTTTTTTTCCTTACACGACTACGTTCCGTGGGGAGTATCTTCCACACGGGTAAATCTGTTTCTCAGTAAACAAGCGAGGTATAAACGATTAAAAATAATTAAAGCATTAGTTAAGCCTAAGAATAAATGCTGTTATTCAACAAAACGGTAATGTCAGATTGAATATGATGATATAAAAAATAGTAGATGTTACTGTTCTTTATTATAAAAAAAGTGGCTGTATATCGCAATAAATTTTTCATTGCAAACCTTTTGTTATTAAGTAAAAATGTAGAAACAAGTTTAATTCCTTAATACGCATTGTGCACACAATATAAGTAAATATTCAATTTAATTTAAAAAATCTGTATTGTACAAATTATGACACTCCGTTATGTATTCGAGAGTTTATACCGAGATGATCACAAAAATTTGAAAGTTAATAAGTTATTTACATATTCTAAAAATAGATCAATTTGTTATAAAGCACAATTATTGGCTTGTTTCGCTCTACAACAATATCGTACGCTCAAAATAGACAAATATCGAGCGCTAGGAATTAGAAATTGCATGAGTTCAAGGCAAACGCTCTCGGGTCGAGCCGATAGAGACTGATTTTTCTTACTTGTCAATGTAGCCGGGACACGCGACGGTAGCGAGTTTAGAACCGTCGAAAACGTAGGATTTAGTGATCTATTTATAGACAAGCGCGCCTTGGGCGGTCGCCGAGCAACTACCTGGGACTAAGTTGGATTTCATAGAGACCAGGTTGAATCCGTAGTAAATCGCAAACGCAATTGTAAATAGACAAAAACTTTACTTTTACGTTTAAAAATTATGAGATTAACCTATTAAGCGATCAAACCGAGACTTCACAAGTGTTTTCTATACAAACCGAAAATTAATGGACGTAACACGCGGACAAGTTACAACACGGTAAAAATAAAATAAAATGTAATCTACACATATGTTTTATAAATCTATCATTGATACACAATTTACTCAATTTCATTTGTAACAATTCAAAATTGATTTTCCCAATAATCATTCAGTTTTAAATACTTTCATATCTAATGCTCAGATTAGCATACTGCTCAAAAACCGTTTGAAATTAAGTAAACGTTAATGAAATTATATATATGTATAACGTATTGTCTTCAATTTATATATCTCTAAAGTTTAATTTGTCAAAATAATTTCGTGATGAACTCTAACTTCCAAACTACTGGAGTTTAATCACTGCTGAAAACAGAGAGAAGCTCCAATCTAGATTGACAAAAAACTCTGTAAATAAAAGAAAAGTAATAAAATATCTAGCATTCACATCTAAAAGATTAATCAAATTTTGAAGTTAATTCAAGCTTAAATAAGCGTGATAAAACTTTTATACGAGCTCTCTTTTCCTTTTCTTTCGCGTTCTCTCTCGTAGAATTTCTCGGCTAATATACCAATTTAAATCTTTAGCTGATTATATAGAGATTTAAAAAAGTTTTTATACAAATTTAAAAACATTGCCATGAAAAAGAAATATTCTTGCAATTAATTCATATGTTATAACAGACTTTAATTCGCAAGAGGTGTTCTTGTTGAACGAAGATAAAACCTCCATCACAACAGGTATCTTCTGAATGCAAAAGTTTTGCGAATTAGCAAAGTTCATGCAAACTGCAGAACTGCTGTCGTCTTCGCGATCTTCCTTAACTCGTTTCGTCACGATAGCGATGTCACGCGCGCATTTATAATGCACGCAAGTAGCCACGTGAGGACATTGCGAGGAAAGAGAGACTGGCAAGGACGGGCAATTACACTCTTGTATTTGAATATGAAAACCGGAAAATTCATTTAAAACATCCAAGTAA